GCTAATGATTTTACAATAGTACAAACACAGTACTATCGCCGCCTTTGCCCCCTCCTCTCCCCCTTATAATTAATATTAATTAAAAATAAGCCACGCCCCTTCGTTCCGGGTATATCTAACACTACTTCCCATGTTATTCTTATGATGTACTTTAACATGAAGAGGCTCCCATAGTATTAACATTGCCCATCGTATTTAAATTTAAAGTGTCAATGCTAAGTCTATGAGAAGATGCTTTAACATGAGTTTCTATGGAATTACAGTTTAAGTCTGATTTAGGTTTGACATAGGTAATGCTAAGTCTATGGATAATGCTAACACTATGGGACTAATGCTAAGTCTATGGTACTCATATTAAATCTATGATCAATGCTAATCTATTCTTTGAGTATCACTCGAATTGTGGTTAACGTATACATCGCTGTGTGTTGTTATGCATTGGATTTATATTCAAAAAACATAACTTTCATAATAATAACAATAAGTAAAGTCTCATTTTCTACAATGAAATCATTATTATTAGGTCTCATACTTAGGGCTCAAGTGAACCGTTTTTATTTTCTCTCTCTCTCTCTCTCTCTCTCTCTCTCTCTCCTTATATAATACAGAATCCCTTTTTGATAGGATTAAGTCGATAGGAGGAGAGTCTGGTATTCAACGACTACTATACTTGTCGTCTACTCGTGTCTTAAATACAGAATAATATAATATAAAGTAATTTTTTTCTTTCTACAAATGATTACTACTTGAGTAGAGTTATAGTACTGTAATAAGTAGTGTCAGCCGTGGGATACCAAACCCCATCGTAAGTGGCAATACCTGCGCTCATTGGTTGACACATTCATTCATCACATATTCAATAGATTCTTGATTTATCATAACATCAATTCTGTTATTCCTATTATTCGTTGCGATAGAGAATCGTTTCGTAAGAAACTGTTTATCAAATCAAACATTCAATACTTCAAAACACATCCAACAACTCATCCGTTTCTGCGATACATTTAAATCCATTGAATCATAGCTCAAGTTTTTTTTCTCTCTCCATTCAGTTGGGTATCACTTCTTTTGTGTTGCATTTCCTTTCAATACATGGTTTGCTATCAAAACAGTCCGTCTCTAACACTCGGTTCAGGTCTTCTTAAACTCATTTTTCTAACTCCCCCTCACTTTCACTCTCACTCCCACTCCTCTACTTCTTTCAGATTAATGTATTATTTTGTTTCTCAATATAAAGTTTATGTAAATTTCCATTTTATATAACAAACACATTGGCGAGAGTTAATTCAGTTCTCTCTCTCTCTCTCTCTCTCTCTCTCTCTCTCTCTAAATATCCGTAACAAATGACAGGCTTTACTCGACTCGAGCCGAGAAACAAATAGTGTTCTTTATTATTGAAATACCATTCAGTTCTCTCTCTCTCTCTCTCTCTCTCTCTCTCTCTCTCCATCTTTTAGAGCCCAATAACTGCTTCACTTTAAATGTCTTAAAATCATTAATCAAAACAAAACAAACACTTTTTCTTGACTTTTATATAAAGAATTTAAATCTATTTTTTATATAAAAGAGTGAAAAATAAAATAAATGATTGAAATAATTATTTTAAATATTTTATTTAATTCAATAATTGATTGTTTATTCAATTAATTATTTTTTATGGATTAAAGTGCATAAAATTTAAATCTTGTTTCTAAATATTTTAAATACTATTTACTTGTCGGGTAAATATGTGATAAGTTTCGTAACTTTAAGTTGAAACTGAAATTTTAAAAAATTGGAACATGGTAAAAAATCAATTCTACCACTATTCTATACATGCTGCCTTGCTACAAATTCATTTGTGTTTAAAAATAATTTGGTTCAATTTGGTATAGAATTGAAACTATGTAATTGAGCTATAAAATCATTAAATTTATTTATTTGTATTTGTTGTGCCCGTGAAATGCTCACCCAATGAGTGCAGTCTTTGGCAACAATTTGGGCCATGTTTTTCAATGGCAATCAATATATGAAACATACAAATACCTAAAATATTCTGAATCTAATATCCATTCTGTATATTTCGTTATAAATTGTGTTTTTAATTCGTGTATTTTTATTGCTATTATTTTGTCTATTTTTTGTTGGAAAAACTCGTTAATCTTCCCATTTCTTAGGTTTGAAGACATTGAATGAATTTTGATTATACTTTTATTTATATAGATTATAAATTATTTAATTGCCTGTTATTTCATCTGACATTTCGTTGCAACCATTAATTTAATTAACGTTTTTTGCGCTAATTGTAAGACATTTCCCCCCTTTTGTTGATTTGTTTTAACATTAATTTTGTTATTTGTGTGCGTTTTCCGATTGAGTTGCGATGACTCCTATGTTATATACGGTGTGACTGTTGTCTATGTAATTGCATTTCATTGCACTCTCTCTTCATTTAACTCATTATATTTTGATTATATAATTCTTTTAGCCGTTAATTCAATTTTATATCCTTTTTTCCATTCAAATTGTTTTTGTCACTAATTTATCTGATTATCATCAGTACTGGTGGTACTCAACCAAACCTATTAGCCCTGTTTTCGCAGTGCAACACTCATCTATGGCACTATCACTATAGTGTGTCCACATTACCCACATTCACCCCCATTTTTTGTTGCTTATTCTACATTAGTTAGTTTTAATTGATCATGGCCAGATTTATGTTTCATATAGAACAATATGCTATCAAATAAATACTTGACAATATTTTTGTCCACACTTTTGGTTTCTTAACAATTGTTTCGACAATTGATATATGAATTGAATGTCAGATGTGATAAGGAATGAAATATATAATGTGGACAACACTCTAAACGGGGTGTTTTAGATGGCTATTCGGATATAATGGCCATTAGTGCTGACAATTTGATTTGTTGGACACAACAAGCAATTCGTTTATATTTGTATCGATAAAAATGTGAGAATTAAATTCAAATATAAAAACTATTATTTGATTGCTTTTTTGTGTGTTATTTGCCATCAATTGTGCGATTCGTTCAATATTACGATATAAATTATACCATATAATGAGTTTATTTCGCTATAAATTGTGTTAAAACAGCAATTTTTGTGTTAATTTCATAAACATTCTCGCATTCATTTACCGTTCAAAGCAATTACACACATATTAAATATATTATTATAATATGTTATATTGTTTTTATGTTTTCTATCATAAAATGTAAACTTTCTTTATAGTCATTAAAGTTGTTGTTATATTAAACCAAACGCTAAAAATTAATTAATTTTTTGTATTTCTTTGTTCCCAAACACTGAACGATATATTTGTTATACAATTAATAATGAATTTTGACGTTTTTGGGCCCAAAAGTGGGACTCTTATTATTTAACGTTAGACAGTACTGTATATTCCGTCCACAATGTTTAATGTTGTGTATCTGAAAAGCAATTCTCTCTCTCTCTCTCTCTCTCTCTCTCTCTCTCTCTCTCTCGTCATTAATATTAATTTTTAAAATTTTTTCTTTTCTCTATTATTATAAAATTCATTCTCAACCATAACTATCTACTCTTCATGTTATAACACACACTCGATCCCACTCTTCATCTCCTTCTCATTCCCCCTCTTCTTGTGATTACTGTTGACTAAAAGCTCTGCATTTATGCTCTCATCCTATCATTGAGAGTGAAGTGAAACACAATTTTTATTAATTATTAATTTTTATGTTGTCATTAATACACAGCTTTGTTACACAACTTCTCCAATATAAGTGATGTTTGGCCTCATATCAGGCCATCAATGAGTTTTGATGTCGAAAAAGGGCTAACGTTTTGCTGAAGCGCTCGCATAACACGTCCTCTCATTTGGATTCCTTCACAACATTTAACGCAAAATTAGTTTAATTAAAATAATGAGTTTTTCGCGACTATTCGCTACACAAAAATATGCACAGCTCTTATCAGCGCCAAAATGTCGCAAATACTTCTCCACTCAAGACCTGATGTCAAACCATAATAATTACGAAACGGAATATTACTCTTCGCCTCGAAATCAGAGCGAAATTATCAGAAATATTGAGTTGAGAGGAATGGCCGACGATATGAAGGAGTTGTTTGACGACAGCATCCGATCTAATAGTCAACTACTCTCTGATGCAATTATGAGAAACATTGCGTCTATGCCTAACAAATTGGACCCAATTTGGTACTCAATTATTATTAGTTATTATTTTTAAATGTTTGTCTTTTTACTTATTTTTCAAAATAAAAAATTAATTATTTTCCAATTACTGAACGAAAAGGTATGGCTCAGAGACTCCCGATTATAAGACAGTGGAGACAATTGGAGAGAAACGAGTGTTTGATTTTGAGCCCCAGAAAGCGGAAACATTGCTTCAGAAGTTGGGTCTCATATACCTATCGGACAGAAGTGTTGGCAATTTGGGTGTCGTCGGCGGGAAAAACAGTTATGCATTTGTGGCCGATTTGTGCCGTTTAGAGCAGGCGCTCATCCGATGGACGACAGCGACACTGATTAATGAATACCACTTCACACCAGTAGTTGTGCCCCAATTGTTATACACAGACATAATCAAGTCGTGCGGATTCAACCCTTCCGGTCATCGCTCGCAAGTGTATCGATTGGCGGCCGACGAGAGGGTGTGTTTGATCGGAACGGCCGAACAGCCATTGGCCGCCTTCAACATCGGTTAGACATCGTTTTTCGTTATGTCTATAAAATTTGTCAACAAATTTATCAACATTTAGTACAGGTTTCCCAATATATAAATATCCGTAACAAATGACAGGCTTTACTCGACTCGAGCCGAGAAACAAATAGTGTTCTTTATTATTGAAATACCATTCAGTTCTCTCTCTCTCTCTCTCTCTCTCTCTCTCTCTCTCTCTCGATTCCTCTGTGGCCTACGATTTCTTGACAGTTTAGTTGAGTTTATGTTCAGTTCAGTTACGACTCTCTATTTTCTATCGGTTTTATTTATTTTGATAAATTGTCATAATTTCTCAAAAATGGTCTTTCATTTCTCTCTTTCTATTGATGACAACCAATAGGCGAAACATTTTCATCGCAAGACTTACCCAAAAAGTACTGTTCAATGAGCCGATGCTATCGCGCAGAGACCAAAAGCACTAAACAAAACTGGGGTCTCTTTCGAGTGCATTATTTCAATAAAGTCGAAATGTTTGCCATCACTGATGAAACACAATCCCAGCAAATGCTACACCATTTGGTGGACATCCAGAAGTCACTCTTCCAACGGCTGGCCATATGTTTCCGTATCATTGATATGCCTCCACACGATTTGGGTCTTCCGGCCCACAGAAAGTTTGATATCGAGGCTTATATGCCAGGTATGGCCCAAAAAAGCACTCAATCTCTTCGCACATCTCTAATATTGATTTTCATATCCAATTCGCGTGTCTTTCTCTCCTCAACTCAATCGACAGCTTATTATTTGCTATTATTAGCGCTTAAATGCCATCATATCTTCGCAAACGCATTATCTCTATAATAAGTCTTCAAAACACTTAATCAACATTAAAAGCGCAAACATTTTTATAATTAACCCATTCTTTCGCTTAACAAAAATCAATAATTTTTGTTGTCTTCAAGAGTGAAGGCAAATAGCACTCAGGATTTTGAACTGTTTTTTTACTAAAGATTTGATATATAAATGCATTTCATTTCATCAATCGATTGTTAGACGTAAACGTTTTTAAGGCAAACACACTCTTAAGACTTTAATTACAAACATTTTCAATAGTTTTCTCACTATTTTATACTTTGATGACATGTTCTTACAAAACACGCTATAAAAGCGTCGATATTATAGTTTATTTTCGAGACATCATTAGTGAGAATATAATATAATAATCCTTTTCTCGTCTATTGTTAGCGCAATTGTCTTGTGAGGGGTAACCAAACACTGGGTTCGCCCGACAATGCCTTCTCCGGCAATACGGGTGCCAACCCTTTGGTTGTTTCTGTTTGTTTTGTATTGTTTTTATTTGATTTTAAACACAATTATCTTTGAAAAACAATTATCTTTTAGTCTATTTATTGTTTGTGTAAAACTATATATTTTTAATTTTCTTTATCTTTCTTCTGATTAAAGATATTATTTGTTGAATTATTTTATGATTGAATGGTTTGCTGTTTTAGGCCGTGATGTTTGGGGAGAGATCTCTTCGGCGTCCAATTGTACGGACTATCAGTCGAGACGTTTGAATATGAAATACCGGACTCTGGATCTGAACGAAGAGACGAACCAAGTGTTCAGCGATAGGTTTGTGCACACGATTAACGGCACGGCCTGTGCTGTGCCCCGAATGTTGATCACGATTTGCGAGCAAAATCAGACCAGCGATGGATTTATAGTAATACCTGAAGTGTTGCGTCCATTCATGTCTGGGCAGACAGTTATTGATAAAAGACAAACAATTTTCGCTATCACTGAAAACCCAAACACTGGTCGAGTAGTCCTTTAATCGCATTACTCGTCCTTTTCCCTCATATCCTTTCCTCAAACCTTAGTATCAAATCAAACAAAAAATGATTGTTTTCTTTTCTACTCTTATTTTGCTTACCGTTAGTCTTATGTGTAATTATATTATATTTATTTAAAATTAAATAAAGATAACGTTAAACTTATTTTTTCCACAATAATTTATCATTAAATTGCGATCGTTTTCCTCCAACGAACAGAACCCACGAATCCGTTATTCAATTGTAATATACTTCTGAAGCACTTTATTGTAGTTTAAAGTGAACGCCGGATATAGTGAACGGATTTTGTTGGACATCCTTTTCACACAAATGTCACCTAAAAATATATAGTAGTTCTCAAAGCAAAAGCCCTCACAAAAGCTTTTATGTTTTAAGTAGTTTTGAGTATTATTTCTAAATTAGCGAATATATTAAATGACTCGAAATAAATCATTGCATTAAATATATGTTATAATTAAACAGGCGTTTAATGCGTCCATAAAAATGGGCAAAATTACCAGTTTGAGAGTATTTTCAGTTAATAAATAATCCAATTTAATAATTGTTTGTTTTAAAAATAAACTAATTTCAGATTTTTATATAAAAACTATTTTAAGTGAATTGAAGCTAAAATTTTTAAAAAGAAGATGAAATACTAATGGCTTTACTCTTACGAACAAATCATACATTTTTATCAACAAATCATTGCGAGTACTCAAACATCTGCTCATCTCTCTCTCTCTCTCTCTCTCTCTCTCTCTCTCTCTCCTAAGTTTTTCATTATCTAAAAACACAAGAAATCTTAAAAACTTCTTCATTTCAACCAATTTCTCGAAACACAATAATAGCGATAAAATCAGATATGATTTGACGTGCAATTAAACGGTGAACACAATAAATGACATGAAATATATTTTGCTATATTTTATCATTGGCTCGAAAATTGATTTATGATTGATTAAGGATTGTTTGCATCGATTATATATGAATCAAAAAACAAGTCATTATATTTCGATTATTATATAATTCAATATTCAGAATATCTGTTGTATTTTTTGAGCACTAAATTCTTTGATACAATTCTATGGCCGGAATTGTATTAGTGTTGAGACGAATCGTACCGTAAAATTCTTGTCAAACATATAACTCCATCTCTTCTTTGTTTTGGCACTTGATTTCTATTCAATGAATATTATTTTCGTCCAAAAGTTAATCTTTAAACCAAAAAAACTTTCATTACTTATAATTCTCTCTCTCTCTCTCTCTCTCTCTCCTAAGTTTTTCATTATCTAAAAACACAAGAAATCTTAAAAACTTCTTCATTTCAACCAATTTCTCGAAACACAATAATAACTCTCTCTCTCTCTCTCTCTCTCTCTCTCTCATGACATAAGAATTTTTGTCATTTCGTTGAATGAAAAATGTATTTCCTATAAGTGTTTGAAAATGTTATAAATGAGTGTTCGGTTGCGATCGAAGACTTCATTTATCAAAACATTTTATCAAACCATAGCTCACTTTTTTTTTGGATTAAAACAGATTTATCGGCTGAGGTTTTCAGACATTCATTTATTATATTCATCACCGGTTAAGTCAACAGACAGTTTGCTGTTAGAAATTCTTGTGCTTTTTACCAATTTTTTCTAATTCACACATATTTTGAGGCGATTCTGATATTTAAAATATTAAGTTTAATACTTGAATTGAATTTTAGTAACTAACGAAATAAATCAAATGCATAGTTGTTTTATGTATTTAATTTATAATTAATTTGTTTGTGAATGTGTTATAAAACAGCTTTTATATTACAAAAGAAGGGATTTATAGTATTCTCACACGTTTTTCAGGTGAAATTGATTACAATTTATGTCAAGTTAAAACACCAAATCGTGTGCTATTTACTAAATATTAAAATCCTATTTGCTTTCAATGGGAATGTATTTGAAAATTCTTGTATTCAATTATGAGTGAAAAGTGGGGGAAATATTTAATTTTAATTCATTGTTCAATATATCATTTGAGACGACGAGCAAAACAACAAAAGTACTTTTGATTGAAAATGTTTTTACAATAAATATATGGTTTATTTTTTAAAAGTATGTTTCATTTCATCTTAAATAACGAAATACAATAATTTAATGGTATGTTTGCTGAAGATTTAGAGACACTATGAGTTCATAGGTTTATAAATGCGATAAATTAAACCTCCGTTTGAATTATGTTAAGAATTTATAGCAATTATTGGAAAACAATTCAATAGAAGATAATAAGTGGTGTTATATTCAGTAAGAAAAAAATTTTAATGAACTTTTTATTCCTATTAATAATGGCTTATAATAGAGATTCCGACGAATAAATTCTGATTCTTTAAGTTTTATTTGTATATAAATTGTTTGCAATTAATTATTTGTAAAATTGATTTTGTTTTAAAATAAATTAGTGAACATTTTGAGGCCAAAACTGACAGTTTATGTGCTATAGAAATGAGATGAATGTATTGAATACAAGTGTGATATAAAGAGATGGGAGAGAGAAGTGATGTAATGAGTTGTTGGAGAACAGGGTTATTGTGATGGAGAATGAGAGCACAAAATCGATAATCGGTAACCAAAACAACGGCTCACGAAATGCGAGCACTTTTTACCGGAGAGAAGGCAATGGAAAAGCGAGCGATTATTTCCATAGAGATTCGTACGCAAGATCTCTAAGGCTTACATAAACAGGGCTTTCATTGACGCAAATCTTTTTAGTCGATTACATATATATTTATATACGAAATGTTATAGTATTTCGTATGTGAGAGACAAACAAATTAACGATTCCTTCCATTGAAAAGCTGAGCGACAAATGATATTTCTAACTGTCTTTTGGAGATATTCTCCATAAGAGAGTCAATTGTTGGCTGTGTTTTCACTCCAACACCGCATTTCCCCCTTAACTATACTAACTATGCATTAGTTGTAGTTTTTTATAGCATATTATTAATATTAACTCTTATTCTCGTTCACTCATCTCTTCAATATTTGTCACCAGAAAATAAACTCAAACAACAGTTACTGATATTAATTATTAATTTACAAGTTTTGTCGTCTTAATTGTGACTATATTTAGGCGAAACGAGACTTTTTAACCGGTGTTTCAAATGGTATGTGTTATAAGACCTTTCCATCAGTAAAACATCTGTCAATTGTTAAACACAACACACGGTTATAGGAATTGTATTATTTTGTTTGTTGTATTTTTTATTTATTATACATTAAAAATTAATAAAATTCAATTAAATTTTCAAAACCAATGCTTGATTTGAAAAGGCGTTCATCTATTGAATGGTTTATTCAACTCGAAAACAAAATTTATTTTAAATTAAATATAATATTAAATGATTTTCACTGTTTATTCTCTATGTGTTTGATAATAGGGTTACAGAATATGGAGTGAGAAAAACGCTATGAATGAATGAAAAGAGCAGATCTAACAGATGTTATGGATTTTGGGGACCAATTGAATGCTAATTATCACAACATTTTAGATCATGAGTTGGCATCGAGTGATACAAACCATAAAACTAACGAAACAAGTGATATAATTGACAAGAATTCAAATAATAATGGTTTGGATGAAAGTAAGCGATTGTTTCTGTATTTATCACACAATTACTAGAAATTGTTTACAAATGTATTTTTGTTTTTATTCATTGTCTGAATAATACATTTTACCGGAAAACACATAACCAGAAAAAATTATGAATTTTATGAATGAAACAAATTTTATACACCAAACATATTGTGTATATAATCTGTTTAAACAATTATTTAAATTTTAAAATTTGAAATACAATAACATCTGTATACATTTGTAATCAAAATAGTACCTAGAGTAATTGTTTGGACAGAATATTAATCACATCCGGCAATAAATAGAATAAAAATTAATGAAATACTTAATTCTTGAACCAATAGTCGACACCAAAAGCGAGACACAAGAGGCCGGCGACGATGTGTTTGAGAATCAGCTCAAGTATTGTTCGTGTGATTCGGAGTACGGAGAGGACGGCGACCCGGAGTTCGAGATAATGGGCGGCAATCAGATGTCACCGAACAGAATGAGACAACTGGAGGACGAACAGGAGATGTTGAACGGCTCGCTCATGGCGTTGACCACACACTTCGCTCAGGTCCAGCTCCGGCTCAAACAGATTGTCGACTCCAACGATGACCAGAGGGAAGAGTTGCTGAAAGAGTTGGAACAGTTCGCCAATCGTGGCATTCCGGACATAAGGCAACCGCAGATTGATTTAATGGGCGACAAAGAAAATGGTATATAACTAAACATCTGTTATATTATTTGAGCCCTATTTTGAGGCCATATATTGTGTGTGTATTTAGACGACCGGACGGTAACCGAAGATACGTTAGAATTGCAGCGAATTAAGCAAAAAGAGTTGATTGAGAAGCTTAAGGATCAGTTGGAAGACCTCGAGAGTTATGCTTACGAGACCGGAGACATGGCGTCCATACCGTCGTCTATGCTTTTGGAGCGACAGACTGTGATTATCGAGCAATTGAAGGGAAAATTACCCTTAAATTTGGACGAATTGGACAAATCCACGCCCGAAGAGCTTAGAAAGCAAGTGGACAGAGCTATTCGTGATGTATGTTTGGAACTCACAATTAGCAGACAATTTACTGATATATATATATTTACTGATTCCATAGTTAGTGAATCCCGTTATAATGAAGGAACAATTGGTCGGACAATTGAAGACACAAATCACTGATTTGGAGAGATTTATACAATTTCTTCAGGGTTTGTCTCATTTACAAAACTATATTGAATTAATATTTATTTAAAATGATTAATTTGTTTAATTGGATGGATAGGTGAGGAGCACTCGAACTGTACGTGCGATTGTCCACTCCATGGTAATAGTCAACAGTCTGTCGAACCCTTTAGTAAACTAAAGGCCGAAGAAATGCAGAGACGAAGAACTGATAGGAATAAGAAGAGCAAAGAGAGTAATGAAACGGCAATTAAAATGATTAGAAGAGCTCTCACTATATTACAAGTCTTCACATTCGCTCAGTTCGGATGCGGTAATCATTCACTACCTCTTCATTTAATTTATTTACACCTTATGTTTGTTTGTCTTACACTTAAGAGTCTTAAGTTAAGACACACTTAAGATTACATAATTAATACGCTATATATTATTGACTCTTACACTCGATATCATAATTAGATAATAAATATTGACAATAAGTTTATAAATGATTTTTCACAATATTTATTGAAATATGATTTCTAATTATTTTAAACTCTCTTTTCAATGTGAAGGTAACATAAATCCACATTTTGAACGAAACACACTTAAGAAATCATCGAAAGGCAACCATTGGGGAGATCTTAGAGCGCGACTCGAGATAGCGATCGATCGTATACTTGATATACACCACGAAAAGCATTCAAACGATTCCGACTATACCTCCGATTCGGACGAAACGCCCACCAGTTTGTTGTGTAATGAAAGGATAATATCGGCCGTCCGTAAAGACCTGTCGGCGGCGCTCAGAGATCTCCTACAACACGGCCTCTCAGGCAACGTAACCGATCGGCTGAACGACGGCTCGTCGGCGTCTCTATTGAATTGGGGCTGTTTTTCCACGCGTTCTCATCTCGTGCCGCGTCCTCTTCACGCCTGGGATATTGTCCTTAAATACTATGAGCTTAAGGTATGAATGCTTTCAATGCTTTCATCGAAATCATTAAATTTCTATATTATATGAATTGCAGAACGGAATCAAATACAACTCATGTCCGGCGCGAAGACTCTCGCAGTCATTCAACTTACAAATAGTGGGCGGACTGGCCATCACTCCGAAGCAGACACTACTTTCATGCATTGACGACATCATTGAATCCCATACTAGACTCAAACGAAGTCTTGATTCACACTTTAAGGCATTCGTTTGCACAGCACTTAAGTCAGTGTTTTTTATTCATTTGTTGCCATTAATTGCTTTTAACGATTGTTTGTAATTACGTTTACAGTGAAGGAAAACTGTGTCAATGGCTTAAACTGATAGTAAAAAGTCGTACAATAATAGACATGTATTACGACAACTGGTCGTATCTGATGTCCACGGGTTTTGATGACGCGTTGCGCTCATTAGACAAGTTATCTGTCGTTAGGTTTCATTTGCCGATAGATCTGGCGGTCAGACAACTCCAGAATATTCACGACGCCTTCTAAGGCAGTGATTCATATTATAATGACATCTAATTAAGTAATTAATTGTAAATTTGAATCCAATTCTGATTCCTATTGTTTCCTATATTTTGTATTCATTTTTTGATTTAACTTTTAATGATTATAATTGTTGTATATTTACGATCAATACATTATTTTGTTGTAAACCATTGAATAACTGTTTTAAAAATAAATATTTTGAGCATTTGTTTTGAGTTAAATAATTAAAGTTTGTAATTGAATGGCAACACAACACAGATTCACATAACCAACACATTTGGTCATTAAATCAATTCCTATTGATTACGAATTAATTGTATTTCTTTACTGAATATTGCGTTAATAATTGAAACGTTTGCTAACAATGAGAACAGAATATTTCATATCAACACTGTTTAGCATTTGTTATCATTTAATTCAAATACATTTCGCGCATTCAATGGTATATAAGAAAACTTTTAAAAGTCATTATAACAACCGTTAAGCCATTTAGTGTTAAAACACATTTTGATACATCACTGCATCGGTTCCAACGATGGGTCAGCTAAAGGTTCCGAAGCCGAAGGCAATTATCATGGATATGATGGGAACGATGGTTAAGAGCGCGTTCATCGACAAAGTGCTGATGCCTTACATCGAGGCTAATGTGAAACAGTATATCGAAGAGAAGTGGGACGACAAGGATGTGAAGAAAGACGTCGAGGCCTTACGCAAAGAGTCGAACAGCAGTGAACTGAAGATCGTTGGGTCGGACGCCGAAGTGGCCCAACAGAAGCAGTCAGTCGTCGACTACATTATGGGCCAAATCGCGGCCAAAAAGGCGGGCAAAGCGTTGATGAAGTTTCGGTATCACATGTGGTTCGACGGCTTCACTAATGGCAAAATCCAAACTCCCATCTACTCGGATGTGGCCATTCAGGTGCGCAAATGGAAAGACAGCGACATTAAGCTCTATGTCTTGAGCAACAGTTGGATTGAATTGACCAAAAAGTTTATGGGAAAGACATCGCACGGAGACCTCAGCCTTATGCTCGACGACTACTTCGACTCGACATCCATGGGTGCGCTCACCAGCAAAGACACGTACGTCAAGCTCTGTACCAAATTGAGTCAACCGCCGGATCAGGTGCTCTTCATGACCAAGTCTACAGAGGAGGCCCGAGCGGCCAAAGAGGCCGGTCTTCCCATATGTCTGGTCTTAACTCATCGCCGAAACATTGAAAAGTTGACCGAAGAGGAGAAGTCGATGCCTCGCATCCGATCTTTCAATGAACTGGAATTAGATTCGACCGCCGGTTGATGTGATCCCGGCTTTGGTTTTTCTGTCAGTATTTATGTCAGTATTTCAATCAAATTGTTTGCAAATATTCACACAAAAAAATCTATTTTTTGTTCAGTTTCTGTCTATATTTTTGTGAATGAAATTAATTATTAAATAAAAAATATATTCAATTTTCAATCAAAACACATAAAGTATTTCTGAATTTATATCAAATTTTAGATAATTATAAATGTGTAAAAAGTTTTGATATAAACCTTGTGATGAGAAATAAAGCAAAAGAAATATTAATCCCAATTAATCATACGATAAATACTCGCGGAATAATACAGAATACATTATTACTCGTGTTTAACAATTCATACATTTAAAGAAAATTATAATTTTAAAAAAGTCGTTTCAATTTAAACACAACTCTTCTCTAAAAAAATGTCGGGAAAGTCTGAAATCGCAAAAACCAATTCCTCTGTCGCCACGAATATCCCGGCGCTCGACGCAGAGCTCCTCAAGAAGAAGGGCTTCAAAGTGGGCCAACAGCTCAATAGCGGCAGTTTCTCCACCGTTTGCAGGGCTACGAAGGGCACGACTCCGGTCGCCGTTAAGATCATTGATTTGTCGAAGACTTCGGAAGACTATAAGAACCGATTCCTTCCGCGCGAGTTATACACAATGACTAAACTAAAGCACCCGAACATCATTGGCATTCACGACATCTTCACGATCGGGAACCGGATCTATGTGTTCATGGATTTGGCCGATGGCGGAGACATTCTGGACCTCATTAAGAACGGAGCCGTTTCGGAGGTTAAGGCCAAACCGTTGTATAAAGGAGTGGCCGATGCACTCAAATACATACACTCCAAGGGCTTCGCGCACCGGGACATCAAAAGCGAGAATATACTCCTGAATAAGACCCGAACGGTGGCCAAAATCGCTGACTTTGGGTTTTCGCGCACCTGTTTTGACAACAAGACGGGTACCCGAGTGTTGAGCGCCACGTACTGCGGGAGCGCCGCATACGTGGCCCCAGAGGTACTCAAGATAACGCCCTATAATCCCATGATCTCCGACGTCTGGTCGATGGGTATTGTACTCTATGTGATGGTTAATAACAGACTACCCTTTAGTGACAAAAATTTGCGACAAATGCTGAAACAACAGTTGGACCGCAATATTGAATACACAGGCGCTCTGACCGACGCCTGTAAGGATCTGATCGGCAAACATCTCGAGCCAAACATTCAACAACGCTATACAATGGCTCAGGTATTAGAGCACCGGTGGTTTAAATAGACATTGTTTTCCTGTTTTCTCTGTGTTTTTCAACTTATTTTCACAATTTTCATAATTACACCCATAATTGCCAGATATTTAAAAAGAAAACAAAGCTTTTATTATTAAAAATTGTTATAAATTGTATGATAAATATTCGTTTAAATGATTAAAAATATAAATTTACTCAAAATAATCATTTGAGTACTACCATGGTTTAATATCCCACTTTCGTATGCTTCTAAAAAATGTTGTTTTTTTATTAAAGATGTTAAAAGTTTATGTGAAATAAGAAAACAATAAAACATTAATTGAAAGGCAATTAAAAGTTGATATATTTTTTAATTCAACAAATACTGTAATAGTAAAATACAATTTTAATGGTTGTGTCAGTCGTTTAATTTGATGTGTTAAACAAAACCCAAAAAATAACAAAAACAGTTTATTGTACACATAAACAAAGTATTTAAACTCATATAAACTTACATTAAAATGTATTTGACATTTAGTGTGGTTTTGCGAAGAGAGTGAAAGTGCCGTAAATTATAGTTTAGGGGCCGTATGTGGCGGTGGGGTCTCCGGTCGTGACCCGCGTGTATGACACGGTGTCTGTACTCTATAAACCCAATGCAAAGTATAGTATAGTTCAATGACTTCTCTCTGTCTGTTAACTGTTAACAGTACCAGAATTAATGGGAAAATCACTTTTTTTTATTGAAAATAATCACTAAAATAAATGCATTTCATTATTATTAGAGTAATATTAAAATGAATGGCAACTAAAAGGAACCGGTTATTGGAAGAGACAGATAAGGAACTGGAGGTACCGTTTATTTGGACAAAATTTCCCAAATTTTTAACATTTACTGTAATGTGAAGATAGATATGGCTCTCATTTTCAGTTGACTATCCATTAAATATTTCTTTTTTTAGTTTAAAGAAAAATAATTGTCTCAAACAGTTTTAAATTGAGTTCATTACCATCGATGCAATACTTCTTTCTCACATCCTTTTTTCCCATTAATTAAAATTTGTGCCCAAAGTATACAACTTATATAATTAAAGATAGAAATAATATTACAATTAATTTCAGGGATTTGAGTTAACTTCATAAATATTATTTCAATTCCATAACAATTGCTTTAAATAAGTTATTTATAACGATATAAATAAAAATATTATAAATATTTAAATAATTTAATTTAAAAAGTAGAATAACTTTAGTATAATATAATGACAAACTCATGAATGCCTTCCTCTTCTCTCCAATGTCTTAGCGGTGAACGAGAGGGCGATGTCTTGGTTTTACCCATAGTTTTATTTAGCAGTCATTTCTTTGTAAGTGATTTATGAAGTGGTTATCCTTTTGTGGTTTACGTGTTTTAATTCTTATATAAATTATATCAGGATTTACTTTTAGCTTATATGCGATTGATTTAGTTGATTTATGGTTTTAATTATACTTTTAATCAAATTTTAATAGATATTTAAAGGTAGCGTGATATTTAATGATTTAATAAATTAGTGCAAAATTGTCTATTGTATTGTAAATTGTATTTATTAAAATTTCTACACTATTTATAAATCAATAAATTTATTATTTTAATGTAGAAAAATAGATTTCAATAATTGTTATCATAAATACGTTTTGAAAGTTTTTAAAACATTAAAATTTTTGTTACTAACTGAACAAAAATAAAAATTATATTTTAAGATGTAATTAATTGATGCAATGTTTCCTGTATTTGAATAATATTTTTATCATTTATATGTAAATTTTGGGTTAAAATAAAAAGTTTGCAATTTTAAAAATAAAGAGCAAATTCTTTTTGAAAGATATAAAAAATTGAAGTCAATGTTAAGGTCTTTGTAAGAAAACATAAACCAAAACTCTCGATGCATTCAAAAACTTAAAGTTCTTGCCTTTTATTTGGGGTAATTGTACTGCAATTATACATAAATATAAGAATCACATAATAATTGATTTGAATGAAGAAATTGAAGATTAATTTATTACATCATAACAAGAATTTTGACACTAATTCTCGCATATTCTGCGCCTTTCGGGTCGTAAAAGGTTGACAGAAATGGCTTTAATATCCATTAAATATAATATTAAAAATTTCATGAAAGGGGAAAAACAACTTATTCGACAATTATATATTTGATGTCTAGTTTTTTAATCAATTTTTCAACGAAAAATAACTTTCAGATTATGGTTTATCTTTTAAAATATATACACCTTTTTATGTAAGCAATAAAAACCGGGATTTTCTCTCTCAAAAGACTTTAACCCTAACTTTGTGTTTGGCATTCAGTGAACGCCTTTGTAGTACTTGTGGTTGAATAACTGGTCAGCGGTTTAATGATTGCCCACAAAAGTTGTCCACAAAATTCACTATAAAAGGAGCGCAACATCTCTCCCAAAATCATCCGAACAGCTCTTTCGCAAACTTATACTTATATTTACCGAAAAAGTAAATCCAAACTCCAAACTTCAATATGAAATTCTTGGTAAGTCTTTGCAAATGTAAATCATATGTGGTTTTAGTTATTAAATATTGATTTGTTCCTCAAAACCAGTTGGCACTCGCTTTCTTGGCACTGGTGACCGTGTCATTCGCCCAGTACTTCCTTCCCGGACAGACTGTATATACAGGAGTGGGAGAGATAGCACTGGACGGTCACAGTAAGATCGCATACCACGGCTACCAGAATCCCTACCCTTATAACTATGGCTACAACTATAACTATAACTATCCGAGCATTGGTTACGGCGGTTATGGTTATCCCACTTACAAACGACGATAAGCCAGGCATGAGATCCAAAGACTGATATCCTCTTCTCAACGGCTAAAACCTATGCAACGATTGATTGACAACTTTTTCTCTCCGACACATCATTTAATGTCACATTCAGTTTGTTTGTGATAATAATTTATTATAACTTATTGTAACTTTTATTTAAATATTATTTATAAAACTTCCCAATAAAGACCTTTCAGTTCATTACAAAATATTGCTTCACTTTTTTTGGGTTCGAGTTTTTGTTATTAAATGTTTTATTTTTTGATGAATAAAGAAAATCAAAGAATTTTAAATGATTTAAATGTTTGGATTTCACTCACAGATTAAATTAAGCAATAAAAATGATTTTAACGATATTCTGCAAATGTATCTAGAAACATTATAAAATATAGTTTGTTTATATAATTCAAGTTAAATCATTTAAATGCGATCATTAAAAGGCATTAAAAATAAATAAAAATGCATAAAAAGTGAAAATTAGCGACATGTTATCAAAACAACTTTATAAACACTAGTTTTTGGGGAAACAAAACTAAAATAATTGTTGTTTTTATAGATAGAGTGTTAAAATGCTATAAATGTATATCGCATTCAATAAATCATTTATTTTAAAAATACGGATAAATTAAAGAAGTTATTAAAATGCATAAAAAGCAGTATTTAAGTGATGTATTGCATAGATTTGGAGAATTTGAATTGTAATAAATTATGTTTTAATCCTTGTGCTTTTTATTAAATGCTAAAAAGTTTTGTTATTAAATAATAAAAATACATATAAAATATTCATAAAGTAATATGAAATTAATTTCAGTTTAGGTAAATAATTGTGATAGTTTATATAACTTAATTGATCGTGGATTACGACTATTGACATGAATTAATAAAATATAAATTTAATTTACAACAAAATTCCCCAACCCTTTGGTGTCAACGACTATTGAATTAATTTTTTGTTTATATTTTTGCCGATATTATAAGAGAAAGTATGAAAACAAGTAGTCTATTAAACGACCAAAATTCTGGGGTAAAAAAGTTGTAAAAATTAATTATAGCCATAAAATGACATTAAATTTTCAAAGTGAAAGTTTTCAAAACTAACGTTAATTCGTCACATGATTTACTAAGATTTGTCTCAAAACATTAATTTTGTTGTTTATTTTAAAAATCACAAAATTTATCATTTTTATGTTTTTTTTATTAATAAGCAAATGTGTTATAAATTTATAAATTATATTATTTTATTTATTTAGACCTTATTGTGATTTAGATCTACAAAATAACTTCAAAATTAGGAAATATAATAATATGTTTACTATTATTAAAGATTTTAATGATTTTATGCAATAAGTATTTCATAAACTGAAGGCAATATATTAAAATAATATTTGAATAATGTCAATTTTTGATTGATATTTGATTTTTATGATAATTTTTAATTCATTATAAAAGTTAATATTTCATCATTTTGTGATAAAGATTTAGAAATGCAATTATTAATAAAATGTACACATTTTGTAAAACAAACAGTCATTTAGACTATAAAAAGATGTATAAAAATCTTCAATTCACACAAAATTCAGAATAATTTGCTTTGAAAGATGAAGAATCAAATATTGGCTATAGTTTTGGTCGCCTTTTGCTTAGCTATTATTGAAGTAATAGACTGCGAGACAACCCATAATCCTCTGAATATACATCCGGTGACCACTCAATCCAGTGATGAATACGACTCTTCAGAGACGACCACTGAATTCAAATTTGAACGAAAACGACGGGCGGCTAATCCAGGGCTCGGCGTCCCTCTCGTCGATGAGTTGGTCGATCACTTGGGCGGCGCCTTAGGGTCTTTAGGCATCTAATTACTGGACTCAATATGAAATTGTTATTGCTTTCTGTTTAATTTTAATTATTATGTATTCAATATATAAATATTTATTGTAACTAATTATGTAAAATACTGTTTGCAACGCTTGTATTGATTATTCAAAATAATTAAATGTATTTTTAAATTGCATCTAAATATAATCATTAAGTTATTATAATTATGAGTAATAATATTTATTTGATTAACTTATCAATATTTAAAAATGAATCAAATATATAAAAGCTAATCTTAACGGTAGACACGAGTTATACAAAATTAGGCTAATAATAAAACTTTGAAAGATACTGTTATTTAGTAATTTTAATATTCTTTACAGAAATGTTTCTGTATATTAAAAAATAGATGAGAATATTTTTCTGAATGATATAACCAAAATTGCATTGAAAAATGTTTTTATTTAATAAATTAATTAAACAATTAGTTGACAAATGTATTACAAGTTAATAAATAAAAACATGAATTAAATTAAGTGATGTTTAGCGACGTCTGAAGTAATTGTAGCCATAGTTGAAGCCATTGGATGCGTAACCGTAAGGATTGTTCGCCGGGTTGTTATAGCCGTGGTATGAGATCTTGCTGTGACCGTCGAGTCCTATCTCTCCCACTCCTGTATACACAGTCTGTCCGGGAATGAAGTATTGGGCAAACGATACGCCAATTATGGCCATTAAAGTCAGAGTCAACTAAATGTTTGAAAAGTTTTCATAGAATTAAACATTGAGTTAATATTTAATTAAAAAACTTACCAAAAGTTTCATTTTTAAGTATTATTTCGTTTGATTTCAACTTTAAGTGAAATTGAATTCAAGAAATGATATAATTTTCACTCGACTTCTAATCCCTTTTATACAGAATCTGAGCTTCAGTTCAAACAACTTTTGTTTAACTGAAGTTTCATTGACTTTAATAGCCATTGGATTACTTCTCATCAAAAAAGTTGTTTTCATTTATTCTTTGTTTTTAATTTAAACTTAAAAATAAAAGTTTTAAATTAAAGAAAAAATCCCTAACTTTTTTTACCATTAAATAATATGTAAAAAATTTTATTTTTAACGAATTATCAAATCATTTATCATTTGGTTTTAAACACATTTTAAGTCAATATCTTATATAAGAAAGGCGTTGACTTAATGAGGCTCTTATTATAGACTTATTGCCATAAATTCCTACATATTTTTTAGCGCAAAAAAGTTGGCGTTTTATAATTGAAGGGATTTTCCCCGATATTAATATTAAAACCTCAACTCAAAGCTTAAACACTTAACCCTTTACTTTCCTAACCTTGTGTTTCACTTATGATTTCTTCAACTCCTTATTATCGGCAAAATTGTCTTCACTTTTGTGTTTATCAGTCAAATTGTTTACTCATTTTAAAAATTAATGCATTAATTATAGTATTTTATGCCTATTTTACATTTGTTGAATATTTTCACGTTTCAAAAGAGCAACAAAATGATTAAAATTAATGATAAATATTTCAAATAAAAATAATTTCTTAAATAACGCTGAATAAAGTTTGCAAATGATTTCAATTTTAGTTTAATTTATAGTCAAATACAATAAAATCACATCACATTTACAATCTAATAAATAAAAACATTATCTAAACAATGGTTTTACAGAATTATTGTTTGCACAGAATATTCAGAGATTCAATCAATGATAAGAAACATACAAATTGTATATAAAATGCGGACAAAATTGAATCACAAAATCAATCACTAATCGCAAAGACAGTAACAATGAACCAAATATTATTGGTCTGTCTATCGGTTGCGGTGACCGTTGCGGTCATGTCTGCGAGCTATGAGTGCGGCTCCACTACTACTGAGGCGTCCGATGAGAAGGCGTCGAATGGCAGCACTTCTATGAAACAGTTTATCGGCGGCCGTAAGAAGAGGTCACCCAATCAGCACAACCCACAACATCCGCCACACACTATGGAAACCCGCGACGTCGACGAAACCCAATTTCGCCGTAAACGCGGTTTAGGCGTCCCTTTGGTCGACGGTTTAGTCGGTAATCTCGGCGGAGCTTTAGGTTCGCTCGGCGTCTAAACATGTCATTCCCTGACCCCTATATTATTGCTCTTATGTTAACTCTTATTTCAATTTAATTGTATTTTCAATAAATTACTAATTTTTGCAATTTATATAAAGATGTTTTGGATTTAAGGTTTAGTCAAAAATGGGTGGAAAATAATTCAGAATTTTAATGTAATTAATAATGTGTTTAATAATAAAATAACTGCATTTTAATCTTATTATTTAAAACTTTTAACTACGTTACTGTATTTGTGAACAAGTGTTTGGTTTGAATATGAAATTGAATACAATTTACTGTATTTTATGTATGAATTCAATAAATAATTTTTGTATAGGTTTTGGACCAAAAGTTGAGTCAATTGTTTTGAATGATACAAAACGTGTGCAAACTTTTACTGACTTTGAGTTTTGGCTTTAAATTATACACACATTGTATTCACACTTAAATGCCATTACTTTTTGACTCACATTTGCGTTAACACAACGTTTTGGCTATAGTTTTATGATTTAAATTAATTACATTTAAATCCAGTGTTAATAGCAATTGTTTGCAACATTTAGTCTCTTATTATTTATTCAAAAAACCTTTACATTTGTTTTAATTGATTGCAAAACAATGAAATCGTCGAAACATTTGAGACATAAAGTCCGGGACAATAATCACCGGTAAAGATTTCGCAGGATTTTCATAGTGTTATATAACTATCACGTGACGTACGTGGCCTTCAATACAGCAATATGATTGGCTGTGAGACATGTATGTGTTTCAGTGATAAACATATGTGAGTTGAATAGTGTTTTGTTTAGGCATTTCTTTAATACAAAGCAAATATAATTGTGTCCAAAAAATAAATGTGAATATTTTATATCGCTTTCACACAAACACTCACTTCTTATTAACAATTAATTGCACTTTAATTACAATTAAAACACACTTCACATACATTTCACACAAATCTATGATCAATAATACATTCATTGAATTCAAAAATTCTCACAAATGGTTAGAAATTACTGAAAACATTATCTTAAATGAAATAATAATCACAAAAATTAAATGTTTTATTTATCACTGAAATCATCCAAATTTTTAACAAAACCTTTCTTTATTTACACAATTTATATCAGTTATGATTTATTAATAAATTCAATGTCTTGTACTTACTGTTGGAAACTTTTTAAAATAGACATTCATTTAATATATCATAATTTTTCATACATTTAAAGCAAACATTATTTTAATTAACAAAAATCAAACAATTTAATGACTATAAGTATAATTGACTATATGACTAATTGTATTATTAATAGAGTCTGAAATATATATCGATTTGTTGTACCATTTAATGGATGCAATAAAAACATTTATACAACCATTTAGTAGTTATCTTAATAATTGAAATTAAATATAAATCAAATACAATAATACAAGATATAGATATCAATTAAACCCCTGCCGTGTATTCAAAACTATTTTCAAATTAATTCATTAATGAATTCAAATTTTAATAAAACTATTTCTTAATTAATTGATTAATTATTAATTAATAGTTTTGAAAACCTTTCGTTTAAAGCAATGTATGAAACCTTCAAATGGTTTTTGTTTGCAAATTAACTATTATTTTGTTCAATAATAACCATATAATTCATAACAACTAATATTTTTGTCCGAAAACACAAAATTTTGTTACTTTTGTTATATTTTTGTGTCGAAAATATTTACATTCATTACAATAATATTTAAAAATTCATCATTTGTTCATAAATTTGTTTTGTCCCACAATTTCCTCGTAAATATTAATTAAAACATTAAATGTAATTTATAAAAATTTTTATCACAATATAATTATTATCACTTATGAGTTGATTATCTAAAAAATTTAATTACTGAGACTCTAGTTGTTTGACTCGACTTCGGCAGTCTTCGGGTCACTTTATCTAAATTTTGCATTTTTGATAAATCCATTGCATTGTTGTCGACATTAATTTGTGACCAATTGGTGTTGTCTTCGGAACAATTGTTAGCGATGTCTTCATTTTGTACTCTAATTGCACTGTTATTACAAATATTGTTTGACAAACAAACAGCTGATGATTCAAATGAGTCTAATGGCAGACTACTAATCGCCAATTGATTCTCATCTTCAATACCAGCACTGGATTCACTTGAAGATTGCGGTTCCAGTGACTGATGATTGCCGTATAAGAGGCGACAATTGGAATCTGGAGATTGTGTCGATGGTTGCGGCGGTTGAGCCGTCCAATTGCCAGCACTGGTGTAGGTTTTGAAGAGACTAGAAGTTTGAGACTGTGGTGGGGGTCGAGTCGACGTAATGGCATTGGAGGCCAAGTTATGGGCGCCGGTTATCGCACGTCTCTGGGCTGAGGAGGCGCTCGACTGTTGCGATTGAGACAATGGCGGCGATACAGCACTGCATGTGCCGAACGAAGTGTTCATATTAAGGCATTGGAGGCCAAGTTATGGGCGCCGGTTATCGCACGTCTCTGGGCTGAGGAGGCGCTCGACTGTTGCGATTGAGACAATGGCGGCGATACAGCACTGCATGTGCCGAACGAAGTGTTCATATTAAGACTGTATTGCGGGTATTGATGGCCACCATTCAGAGCTGTGGCCACATTGTATGCCTGTCCCGACACTTCGCAATCCGTATTGATTACACAGTTTGTTGACCAGAATTGTTGTTCGCAATTGTTTGCTGAAGATATCACAGATGTGTCACTTAGTGGGGATTGCTGTGTGTGACTGTTATCACAGATAACCGGCACTTGTATCGCGTTTATGATTATCTGATTGGCAGCCATTTCCGGGGCATTCATCACAGAATTCGTGGTCGGGTTCTACGGAAGTAAACAAAACAAAAAAATTATCATTTATTTGTAAACAATTCATTCAATAGTGTATTTACCGAATAATTAATATTATACTGTTGAACATATTGAAATTCAATTTTTTTGACGTGATCTATTGAATTGTCAAATGTTTGGACAGTAAGTTCTTTAAATGACTGTTTTATTAATTCAATAAATTTTTTGACATTGTTATCAAAATTATTGTTTTTAATAAGTCTTTTCACTTGACTCCAAACCATTTCAATCGGGTTTAAATGACAACAATATGGTGGTAACCTATACACAAATAGAAAAATGTAAAAACGAAATAAAAATCTACAAAAACAATAAAAGCAAATACTAACCTTAATGGATAGCAGTTAAAACTCCTAATTATATCATCAACGACATAATTTGGTGGTTTAAAATTTTGGCGAACAATTTCATATAACTCAGTTTTTAAAAGTTTCTTATTAAAAGTGATGCCTTGTCCTGTCAACCACTCCATCATTACAGCTTTTGTTGCTGATTGTGGTGGTGTTCGAGAGGTAGCCCGTGAATGGACTGAACAATTATCAAACACGACAATTGAATGGGGGTCGAGTTTAGGCATTAATTGCTCTTTCATATAAGACTCAAACATTTTTGCATTCACGTCTTCTTTATATATAATAGATTCAGTGTCTTCAATGAACCCATTTTTGTTAATGGCATGTATTATCATAAATCGGTCGCCATCCCCAACCTATAATAAGTACAAAAAATACAAATATTTAAAACGAAATAATAATCTACAAAACTATAAACAAATACAGTAAACTATCGATGCTGTCACAGAATAGTTCTTGGAATTTGGTTGATAACATAGATTAGTTGACAACATAGAGATAATTTTAACATTAGGTCGATGTGGTGGGGATTTGGGATTTGTTTGATAACATAGAGTAGTTGACAGCATAGATAGTTGACAGCATAGATAGTTGACAGGATAGGTATTTGACTGTACTAACGGGCTTTTGAATTTTGGTTCGAATGTTGACATTCATTTCTTGAAGTGTTCTCTTATTAATGCAATTCCTATGAATGCATGTTTCATCTAAAAATACAACAACTGGGTCTTTACCGGTACGATTTCTTGCGATTTGTTCTAATTTTAATTTTTCTGTCATATATTCTTTAATTAGTTGTTGAATTCTATTTGATTCAATCATTTCTTGACGTATAATTTGATTTGTATCACAGTATTTATATCCCATTTTTTTGATTGTTTCAATTAGTGTCCTATCACCACATCCGAAAAATGATAGATCACACACTGTTTCATAATTGTTTGGGTTTTGAAAAAAACTAATTATATGACTATATAGCGCACATTTATATTTCTTTCGTATTTGACCTGTAAGTTAAAGAATAACAATTAGTATATTCACAAATATAAATGTACCGTCTTTATCCTCATAATAATACCGGTAATATTATGTAAATTTCAGTTTAAATGTGGTTTTTCAGAATCAGGGGTAACGTTACCTAGATAGTATTACCCCCATGTACTAAAACTCACATGCAATTACCAGTAATACTATGTGAAATTTAACAAAACAACTATTCAAATAGCAAGCATACTTATTACTGAATCAATAATTGCATAGTCTTCTTCACAATAAGTATATTTTGGTCCTTTTGGTCCCCGTTGTTTTGGTTGTGTAGGGTATGCTTTTATGATTTTAATAAACATACTTTCACTAATATTGTAGCGCTTTTTAATATAAGGGAGTATTTCTTGATAAGATTTGTTTTGTTTTCTCAGTTCATTGTTAGTTTCCCAAATGCTAATCCGAGTTCTGAATTCAATTGTCCGTGAATTAAACATTGGTTTGACAATTGTCGTTAATGGCATAAAAATTGACAAAATATACGTCAAAACTGAAAATATTCCGAGACATGATCTAAAAATGAGTATAAGAGATATAGCGTGTTAAACATAATGATGCAGTAATTGATTGACACAAATGGTAAACAAGTGGCGGAACAAACCTCTGGTGATTGACACGTGATATGCCGTGGGCTTGATTGGGGTACTTCTGTTGGTTGTGTTTCATCACGTTGTTAGGCATGTTAGACATGTTGGACACGTGGGCACCGGTTGGCGGTCGTCAGTTAGTCCAGGAGTCGACAGAACGGCGATTGTATGCAATCGGCGGCAGTGGACAGCATTGGGCTCTTCAACCACTCTTCACCCGAACAGGTCTTCAGTTGTGGTCGCGATTGCAATCAATGATGCGCTCAAACGGTGGGATCCGATCTCTTCGCACATTCATTCAATACACTCGACAACTGCAACACAACGACCAGAAGAGCCATACATTGGACACAATTGCCATCAAATAGTTGACTAATTAGTATTGAATCGCCAATCGTTTCAATGGATTACAGCATGCCAAACTTATTTACTTAACGAAAAGCACATTTGCTCACAACTTATGTTATAAACCGCATTTTACACAAAGTGAAGAGCTCAGTGAATGTTTACCTACAGTATTTACCGCATGTTAATATTCAAGAATTAAGAATTAATGCAAATTTACTAAATTATTTCACAAATATATTTTATATGTATTTACTCTCTATAAAATATGAAACCACATGTTTTCATAATATTGCCTAAACAAAACACTATTCAACTCACATATGTTTATCACTGAAACACATACATGTCTCACAGCCAATCATATTGCTGTATTGAAGGCCACGTACGTCACGTGATAGTTATATAACACTATGAAAATCCTGCGAAATCTATACTTTTGGACACATTTTGGCGATTATTACATGTTTTAAAGTTTTGATTTTTATTTCAATAGAAATAATGGCAAAGAAGTGAAGAAACAAATATCCAAACACTTAATGAAAAGTAATTCAAAGCATTGGAAGAAATTAATTATCGATAAATATATCCATGAATTACACGCCAGAGGTATGTCTTTGGATCTGATCGACCAGAGCTCACAATTGATGGTTTGGATCCTCAATACTAGTGATGGACAGCAAACCGATAGTTGTATTGAAGACGTCTCTGACGTAGACATCGATGAATACATTTCATAATCACATTTAATTGTTATTTATTTTGTATAAAAATATACATAATTGTATAAAATGTGTACAAATTGATTATTTTTTGACTCAAAAACAATGTTTTATTGATAATAATTATTACAGTTATTGTTTCCATGTATTGACACAATTGTATTATTAAAACAATGCTTTAATTTAATGGTTAAAAATTAATGTCACGTGAGATAAACGGTAATAGCATTCAAATTAAGCCGTTTATACGATTTGCTAATTGTTTGATGAGATTATAATTTTCTCATCACTTAAGCAATACTTTAGACAAAATGTATTTCAAGTGTGTTTTGCTGTCACTAATGAGCGGATGTCTAATCTGTTTGCCAGGAATCGGATCAGTAGATCAGGCGATGTATGAGTTTTGCTCCGAAACCAAATTGGATTCCGTATTCAATATACCGATCAATGAAACCGTATTGACTCGAAATGATTACATTTGGATTTTCAACGAAAATAAGGGCCAAATGGTATCGCCAGCCAAAGTGGACTACACCCAGAGGTTTGAGTTGCATAGTATGGCCTATATATCAACGGTTCCCAAATGTGTTCACGCGTGCGAAGACATCCAGAAAGTGAAAGGACTTATCATTATGTTATACAAAAAGAAGAGCAAAGAGTTTTTGGGCAGTTATCAGGTGAAGAAAGTGGTGGACAACGCGGTCACCAAAGTTGACAACACATCGCTTCCGTTCGGCCTCAAAGTCCACGGTTTGATATTCTCGCCCAAAGAGTCCTTTTGGCCCAAAGAGTTGTCGTCGTCGGCCTCATCATTGGATACGAGTCATACGTCTATCACTTATAATCCAATGCAAAACGAGTTCATTGTTTTGGCCAACGGAAAGACTAACGGATATATTTGCTACAATACATTGAAGGCCGAGAAAGTGGACTGGTCTCAGGCCTGGAAGTGCTCTCAGATCGACAACAATTGGATTTATTCGGCAATATTTATCCATAAAAACAATGTCTATGTGTTGGGACTTAAGGGCGATACTAATCGACTCTTCGCGTACACTAACCACGAAATGATCGACACTTATATAAACATTCAACACTTCATGGGCTGCAACGCGACCGGCATTTCCATTGGCGTCCGGAGTCGGAGCGCATTCGGCGACTCAGGCCCTCGCAAGAAGAGCAGCTCTGGAACCGGCATTTGGCTCTTCATTTGTCTGCCGATAGTATTGATTATTATCTTAACCGTTGTTTTGATGGTCTTCTTATCGGTGCGACACAAAGCGGCCAAAAAGAAGAAGCAGAGGGATAAACTACAGAACCCCAAAATGGTCAACAAAAAGGGTCGAGTCGTGTCCGAGACTGATATCGGCGCTCTCGACTCAAAGGTCAGTTGGGGTATACTTGTGGCCCATCAGTCGGATGAGGACATACCCCCCGCACACGCCCCCCAACCGCCCACATCGCCGCGCAACCCATCCAAGTCTGCCCGTCCAGTCCAGGACTCATCGCGTTATGGAAAATAGACATATAATTCAATTCTTTATCCCTTTATTTCTCTAGTTTTACATTTGATTCATATTTTAAATACAATTCATTTAATTTACAAGCGTTTTATATTTTGTGTTTTATAATTTAATTTTTCTGAAATTTTGAGCATTAACTAAATTGAAATTGCTATAAATAAATGTTTATAAGTTAGTATTTAAATAGTTTGCTTTACTTCTTACGCTTTTCAATCATAATAGTGGGAACTGCCATAACTATCGCCATCATAACTGTCGTGATTGTCATAATTATTATGGTTAGTCTTGTAGTTGTGGCCATTATTGTTGTCGTGATTCTGTTGATTGCTATAATCATTGCCATAGTTTCCCTTGTGATCATCCAATCCATTATAGATAGCATCGGCGGCGTCTTCATGGCTAGTTCCGGCCTCATTGGTCTGGATCTTAGCTCTGAAGCCACTCTTGTCGGCCACGTAGTGGACAACACGTTTGCCGTGACCGTCGTGTAAGGTGTATGAGCCGTGCACACCACCATGGCCGTCTCCCTTCTCCTCCCGTGAATTCTCAGCCCCGTGTTTGTCCTTTATATTGTAACCAAACTTGTAATTTCCTATACGTTTCAAATTTAATAAAGTTATGGTTAGTGTTTAGAGACAACACATGATTGCAATTCAATTCAAGGAATACCATGATTGTCCTGCTCTCTGAAAGAGGTAGAGTGTCCGCCATCCGAATGGGTACAACTGATCGCCGCTAATGTCGACAAAAGGCACACAATTTTCACAAACATTTTATTTCTTGAAATAACTTTCAAACGAAAAATTGAAAACTTTATGAGAATTTATTTTTGTTTTTTGAATAGTAAAAACTGAAAGTTTGTGCGCTTTTATATATATTTTTTGTTTTCGTTTCTTATCTATTCCTACAATTATTTGTAACATTTTTACTGTCAATTGTCTGTTCATTTGCCTAAAAAATCGATAATATTTTATTGAACTCCCATTAAATTAAGTTAGTGTACTGTGTATTGTGTACTGTATATTGTATGCTGTATACTGCAATTCTACAGTAAACTCTACTGTATACAGTAAACTCGTTGTTAATTAGCCTTAAAATTTAAACAATTATGTGTAACAAATGTTTTATACAATTATTACACTTATGGGTGTTTGTAATTATCTGTTGATTAGAAAAGCGGAAATTTTTTTGAATTAAAAGTTATAACTTATAAGCAATAACTTTAATGAATTAATGGGTTGTGTTTCAAAACATGTGTTAATTTAAGACATATTTAATGTGATACTCTATGCCATAGAGTCTATGGCTTTAAAGTAAAGTCTTGATTCTATGGGAATATAGTTTCCTTCAAAATATTCATTTCCATATCTTTTCAAATCAAAAATCGCTATCATTTTGAATCAATTCCTTTTAAGATTCACTTTTTATAAATTTTTTATTATCTTTCTTGTATTTTATCAGATCATTGATGAGTTTATCAATAATTTTACCATAAGTTTATTAAAAGTATTTTGATAAACAACTAGATTAGTTTTCATTTCAATGTTAGACTTAAGGCTAATATAATAATAATTTTTTTAACCCTAGTTAATTTACTTACAATATGTTTACAATTTAAGATAGTTTAACATTATTTTGGATGTTATGTTTAAAATGTCAACAATATTTTGATGAAATTGGTTTATTTTTAAAAAACTTTTACAATTTTATGCGAAATACTTGTGAAATATATGGGAAAACTAAAAAATATTTTTAACATGTTTGAACAACACTTTCGCACTATATGTTACGCACACTAATTACACTAAAACATCACATATACCTGTAATGTAAAGTACACAATGTTATAATTGGTATAGATTTTGTTATTAAATTTGATTTTGTTTTGATAATTAAGCTTTTTTTGTAGTAAATATTTTTTATTTTTAGCACAAAATATTTGTTAAAATCTAGTAATTTTATAGCATTTAAAATGTATTATATTATATCAGTATATCTTTATGACTTACTTTACAAAAATACATACATTTCATACAATTTAAGTAACGTATGGATTAATCCTTGAAATTTGTGATCACTATTTGCGGCACACATTAGTGGAGAAGAGGGTAATGAGTGTTTTGATCATTAGTTGTGGTCTTATATGTCTGTCTTAAGATAGCCCTCAGATTATATGCAATAATACATAGTATTTATGTATAATATATGAATGAAATTTAACTTTTTTATATAAACTTCTTTACAAAAGAGTGTTACTTTTTATTCAACATTTTTTAAAATATATTTTGACACATAAATCAAAGTCAGTTAAAGATCTGAATATTATTTACAATTACTATTTGCTGGAAAGATAGGGTTAAATATATTATTAATTCATTTCAATGGGACTTTAATTTGATTAATCGGTAAACAGTTTTTTAAATTACAACTAATTTTATCCGGTATTCAATGGCAGACCAAATAAAATTATAGATTCGCGATCATATCTCGTATTTACATTCAGTTTGAGGTCTAAAAACATTGTAAATTGTTTTTCATTGAAAATAATTAATAGCTTTTTAGCAAATAGAAAAGTTTATATGGATTTCCCGATCCTTATGTCAATCGTGTGTACGTTTGTCAGTGTTTTAGAGGTTGTGATGAGTTTTCATATAAATAGAGGCAACGATTCCAGAGAAAGTCATCAGTTGTCTAACAACAGCTAACTATCAATACTTACTCCAAAAAAGTTTCAATACTTTTCAACACTAATTTGAAAATGAAATTTCTCGTAAGAAAACTTTGTTATTTGTATAAACTTTTATTTATTTAATTTAAATTATATATTTTATTAATTTATATCCATTTCACCCAAAATACAGGCAGTGGTCGCTTTGTTTGCCATTATTGGCCTGAGTTGGTCGGCAGTTGTGCTGCCGTTGTATTCGAGTTCGTATGCGAGTTCGTATCCGGTCTACAGCTCCGGCTATCACTACCCCATCTTGAGCTCCAGCTATTTGCCCACATATGTGCCGAGCGTTGCCTACAGTAATGTTCTCTTGGATTTGCTCCGAAAACGATAAACACCCGCACATAAGGCCCGTCTCTACCATTGATTACGGATTTGTTTGATTTGATACACACTTTGATATTTTTTCAAACAATATTTTGCTTTCATTTCTGTTTATATAAATATTCAAAAACTGGCAAATCATGTATTCAATCATAAAATTTTAATTTCTAATACAAATAATAAAAAGATTGTGTGACACAAAAAAAACTCTTGTCTTTATTATTAAGTTATCTGTTATTTTCTGGTGTAAAACAATTAACGAGAAAAAAATAGTCCATTTCCTTCAGTAATTGCCTCTATTTTTTGTTAATTGTTTTTTCCTATTCTTTTTGGTAATAAATAAATTATATATTAGTTTATTAGCTAAATATGACAAATATTATTGTAAATATTTTTACATAATGTTGTGTGTTATCAAAATTAACTTATCGCTAATCAGTTATATTGACAATATTTTTATTTCAATAGATAAAATTTATATTGCTGATTATCTAAATTTAGTTGTAAAGCAATAAATATTAGATAGTGTTAACATGCTTAATTATTTTATTGTAATTTTAGAAATTCAATATTAAATTTTAAACAATTAAATGATAATAAATGATTTGTCATTGCACTTATTAATTCATCTACATTTATGATACGTTTTTAAATTGGATATATCAATTAAATTGTATGCAAATTATAATAAATTTGTTGCAATTTCTAAAAAACAAAACACACCCTAACCTAATACCTGTCTGTACTGATCATAAATTGTTAGACTATGTCCTATCACTAGTAAATTGCAACCAAATTATTTAACAATAATATTATTTAACATTTAACACATGAATTGCCGCTAAAACCGCAAAATTATATTTTAATTTATCGATTTGTGACAATCAGTGTTTTAACTTTTTGATTTCAGTTTAGATTAAACATAATAAGTGATATTGAATTTGAAACGCCTTTAATTGTCACATAGTATAAAAGTTATAAAACAACCATGATCACTATTATCTTACTCGAGTTAGATAATTTGTCTACAATGTTAGTCCAGACGATAAATGTATATTATGTTAATGCAAATTATTTCTGGTGTGTTGTCTGTGAGAGTACAATGTATAATGAATTAATTACTTTACCCTTAATTGTGTTTTAACACTATTTAAATACTTTTAAGGCATAGCATTTCCTAAAATATCTGAAAATTAAAAATATTTTTTAAATTGCAAATATTTTTACTTTCACTTATTTGTTTAACTTAGTTAGTTAAAAAACAAACACTTTAAAACGGGTTAATTTCCAAAATAATTTCAAATCATTGGTTTAACCAAAAATTGACTATTTTTATGTAATTTTATTTTTAATGCAAAATATTTTTACAATTTAAGGTAAGAAGAAAATGATTTAATATTTAATAATATTATATTTTAATGACATTAAAAATATCTCAAAAACATTTACTTAAACAATCATTGGTTTTACATATGAAAACTAAAACCTAGACATAAATGAAAGTCAAATGCGAAGAGTTAACCGATTAATTAGAGGGGAATTCCTATACTATAAAATAGGAATTCATAAATGTTTTGAGAAATTATATAAAAATTTGTAGCAATAAGTAAATTTAAGTGATGTCTTAATGCTTAAGTCAATGCCTCCTTTGAAGTCATATAAATGACTCGAAATGTGTTTTACATTTGATAATATGTAATATCAAATGATAAATGATTTGATAAATTGTTATAAATAATATAAAAAATCACTTAATTGTCAGTAAAAGTTGGAGATTTCTTTTTCAAAAAGCAAAAGTTTTGTTTTTATGATTTTGCGGTTTTAATTAAAAACAAAGAATAAATGAAAACAACTTTTTTGATGAGAAGTAATCCAATGGCTATTAAAGTCAATGAAACTTCAGTTAAACAAAAGTTGTTTGAACTGAAGCTCAGATTCTGTATAAAAGGAATCAGAAGTCGAGTAAATATTATATCATTTCTTGAATTCAATTTCACTTAAAGTTGAAATCAAACGAAATAATACTTAAAAATGAAACTTTTGGTAAGTTTTTCATTAAATATTAACTCAATGTTTAATTCTATGAAAACTTTTCAAACATTTAGTTGACTCTGACTTTAATGGCCATAATTGGCGTATCGTTTGCCCAATACTTCATTCCCGGACAGACTGTATATACAGGAGTGGGAGAGATAGGACTCGACGGTCACAGCAAGATCTCATACCACGGCTATAACAACCCGGCGAACAATCCTTACGGTTACGCATCCAATGGCTTCAACTATGGCTACAATTACTTCAGACGTCGCTAAACATCACTTAATTTAATTCATGTTTTTATTTATTAATTTGTAAGACATTTGTCAACAAATTGTTTAATTAATTTATTAAATAAAAACATTTGTCAATGCAATTTTATTTAAATTATTTAAATAAATGATATATTTATCAATTATTGAAATTACAGTATTTTAATCTTTAACTAAATTTATTTAAAACATTTAAACACTCAAAATCTATGTGCAATTTAAAGATAAATTTAATTAAATTGAATAAATCAATGCAAACATAGGTAACAAATAAAGCATTTATATAACATATAATTTAAAGCAAATATTGAAGCAATAATAATATAATATGAATTGGATTAGAGTCCGAGTGCTTGAAGGGCTCCACCGACGCCTGTCAGCAGATTGTCGACGAGAGGGACCCCGAGTTCGCCGCCATTAGCCGCCCGTCCTTTTCGGTTGCATTCTTTGGTCACAACTGAAGACTCGTCGTCATCAGGACTTTCGGTGACAATCGGATGTTCATTGAGTGGTCTGTGTTTTGTCTCACAATTTATAACTTCAATAATAGATAAGCAAACGGCGATCACAACTATAATCAAAACCCGATTCTTCATTTTTGTGTTCAAAGTTGTGCCGATTTTTGTTAAAATTTAATTTTTATTTTCTTTTTATAGTTTCAATAATTTATTTGTTTTATAAAACGGTGAAAAAGTTTGAATAGTTTTGTACTAAATTTAATTGTAAATTTGTTTAGTACTATTGTAATCAAATAAAACATTGAAATTAAAATTTGACAATAAAAAGAAAAATCAATCAAAATTGACATTTTTTCAATTTGTATTTCAATGTATTGACATTTAAATCGTGAAAACAACGGGTTTTGAGCCATAAAATCGTTATAAAAGCATTAAATTAGTCAATATTTGATTTTAATCTACAATACGGTATTGTCAATACCACTTACAATCCCTATATTGTAAACATATTGTACATGTATATAAATAGCTATAAATATTTCAGATGTCATTAAAAACAACCTAATTTATGTGTTAAATTTTTAATTATTTATTAATTTGCATACAATTGTCCGCAAAATTATTCAAATTTTTAATAAATAAAAATAATTTTCAATAGTACTGTATTTGTCGTAAATGATCAGAATAATTAGGGAACAAATTACATTGTTAAAATTGAACCTGATCAGTTGTTTGAACCTGTTCATAATTTACTAATTCAAATGTTTATCATATGATATTAATTATAACAATTAAACTAATTCTTAAACAAAGTCTCAAACAATACTTAAAGAATAAAAGTTTCGCAAAACTTTGTAAAAAAAATTACTACAAATTCAGACGTTATTTATTAGACATAAAAACATATGATTTTGTAATGCATTGAAAAATGTTTGCAAAGAAAACAAAACAAAATAATCAAAACATTTGAAAGAAAACATGAATTCATTATTCAATTCAAACAATTTGTGGTCATTTATAACAAGACATCACATCTCAAGACATTGGTTCTCAACGGGGCGTCAGTTGTGGTCACAAACGGGTGATCACAACGAAGAGGTGGTCGAAGACAATGCCGTCGAAGTTGAGAGACATTTCGACGATCTGTCGGTCAAACAGTTTGAATGTTTGGCCAAAACCGCGGATCAGATGAATGACATCGAAATGATATTGTCTTCGTATGAATACACGAAGTATGAGACACAAGAAGTGCCCTCAAGTCTGACACTCAATGATATGAAACAACTAATGGGTCTGAAGAGCGGCGGCCAACGGAATAGTTATATGAACTTTCTGTACCAGAAGGAGATCCAATCGATTCACTCCAAGAGATTGAGAGACATTCGCAAGACATTGAAAGAGAAGGAATTGAGTGATAAGTGGATCCATATGAAGGACAAACGGACCGGTCTTCTCGATGATAACGGAGACATTGTTTACGGTATGAATAGACGGCATGTGTTGTCGATTGTCATGTATTAATCTCTTGTGTTGTCTTTATATGCATCGATGGCTAGGTTTGTGGCACAACAGTCTCTTCACCCGAATATCTCCGGCAAATATACGCCGATATTCTGTCCATCGGTTGCGAAGCGCAGCCCTTTTTGGCCAAAATATTGTGTTTGACTTGAGTTGTGATCCACAGATGAGTCAAACGAATTGCGCGAAGAAATTGAGACAATTAGTGAACGCCTATCAGACAAATCGGTTCTCATTTTCTCAACCATTTAATTTGCATTTTGCAAACATTGACTATAAAAGTATGGTTTGGGATGCGGTTCAAGAGAACCAATTGGTGGCAAACTATCCGCACTTTTTGTCCGCATTTACCCCAAAGTCATACTTAGATCTGTTTGACAGAAAAGATTTGGTATATTTGTCGCCCAAAGCGGACAGAGATCTGGAGTACGAGTCCAACAAAACATATATAATAGGTTTCGGCGACGAATACTATACGAAAGATGTGACTCGAGTTAAGTCACGCAATGAAAAGATTGCAATGAGAAGACTACCAATAGATCGGTACTGTTTGTGGAGTAAAGGCTCCAAAGACTTGTACTCTAGTGTTGTGCTCAGTATTCTCAATGATATGAGTGAAGGCATCGGTTGGCAGAAAGCATTTGAACGAAATATTTCTAAAAGTCGCTTCAAAACCGATGAGGAGATCGAAGCCGAAAAGTTATATCGTATGAATAAAATGAATCGTAAGAATAAAATGCGACAACGATTCAATGATTCCGCAATGATTTATAAATAGTCAATTATTGTTATACTGTATAGTATTTAACTTTTAATATTGTATGTATAGTATAATTAAATTTAATATAAATAAAACGAGTTTAAGATCTTAAAGAATTCAATATTTGTTACTAAATTATTATTCTAATACAGTACATGGTACTGTATTTGTAACTTGATATTTAGATATATTTGAATTAAAACATGTCATTTGAATTGAAAGTAAATCAATTGAATATTTAGAGTTTATGTAAACTAAGAATTGGTATATTTATAAAAACCAAAACAATACAATACAATCAAATTTCAAATTTGTACAATCAAATTCTGTGGCAATTTATTCAAATTTAAATTAGTGTTTATATTGTTTTTTAAAATATTGTTTCTTTTCATTTGGACATCAAATCAATCAATTAAAGTCAAAATCAAATATAAGAAAATATGTTGTCATATAATCACGAAAATATCAAATCTCTTTAATGTCTTGAAACAAACCTGAAATCCTAAGCCCAACAAAACC